GAAACAAATTATTCGGATTCGCTAAGTTCGCTTAAGTGGAGGCAATTTGTGTGGTCACTAATTTATGACAAGGATTAAAAGCCGGGCAATAAACAGTTACGTCGATTAAATCAAGATTAATCTGTATCCAGCCATATCGTTGATAAGAAACGAATATTTGTCAAGATAGTGACTACATTTCGTGCTTTAAGTTTTGTATTTCTTAAAGCATAACCGGACCAAGACACGGATATTCTCTGGGATATAACGGGATACATTTACATCACCTTATCATAATAAAGTGACATAACACGGTACGTAATAACAACAATAAAATGAAATCCAAATATTAAATCATTCATCAAAACTAACAAACGTTTATGTATTGTACAAAACGAGTTAAAAGAATATTCGTAAAGCATAGTATTTGTTGTCAGATGCGATATATGTAGGAATTTAGTTTATAAAGTTTCAATATTAAAAGCAATTTAAATTCAAACAAAGAAAAACAGATTATTTTTATTATTTCTTTTACAATTACTATTCTTTGAAGCCATATTATTGGCTTGAAATAAGATTTGTTTTCCAAGGGAAGTCATGGTTTCAACTAAATTGAATGTAACTACTTTCAGGTTCTACAGCGAAATAATTTCAACAACATGAAGAACGGAAACCTCGGAATTTCGCAGCATGTTTTGGTTGAAAACCAATTTGAGCCAGCGAAAAGATTACCTCAATATATTGCCTGTTTGTCTGCAACTTTGGGAGCCTTAGCAGCGGGAATGGTGTTAGGGTGGACTTCTTCGGCTGGTACTAATGGACAGGATTTACAAGATCTATATGGCTTTAAAATTTCTGAAAATGACTTCTCATTGCTTAGCTCATTAGCCATGCTTGGTGCTGGAGCAATGTGTATACCTATTGGACTTCTTACCGATTTAATTGGAAGAAAGAATTCAATGTTGTTAATGGTGGTTCCCTTCACTGTAGGTTGGCTACTTATCATTTTATCCTATTCCGTAGCTATGTTTTGTGTTGGAAGATTTATTACTGGTGCAGCATCTGGTGCCTTTTGTGTAGCTGCACCAATGTACACAGCAGAAATATCTGAAAGTTCCATTCGTGGAAGTGTTGGAATATTCTTTCAACTGCTTCTTACAGTCGGCATTGCATTATCATATATATTTGGATACTTTGTAAACATGTTTATATTGTCCATTATATCTGCCATTACTCCATTAATCTTTTTTATAGTTTTTATATTCATGCCTGAATCACCGGTATATTATTTGCAAAAGAACAATGAGGATGGTGCCAGGAAAAGTTTCATTAAATTATATGGTGCTCAATACGATATTGAGAGTGAAATACGAGAAAAAAAGCATATCATAGAAGAAAAACGAAGAAACAAAATTTCCTTTATGACCATGATCGCATCTAAAGTAACTTTAAAAGGTTTCATAATTGCTTATGGTCTTATGATTTTTCAACAATTTAGTGGTGTGAACACTATTATATTTTATGCTACTACCATCTTTAAAGAAGCTGGCAGTAAAATTGAACCTAGTATCTGTACTATTATTATTGGTATAATTCAAGTAATAAGTGTTTTTGTAAGCAGTTTAGTTGTAGATCGCGTAGGTAGAAGAATATTACTATTAATATCAATAATATTTTTGTTTTTAACAACTTTTATTCTTGGAGTTTACTATTATCTTTTCAATGATATTAAGGTAAACGTTGAATCAATTACCTGGTTACCTCTACTATCTGTATGCATATTTATTATTATGTTTTCTCTCGGTTTCGGTCCGCTTCCTTGGATGATGTTAGGTGAAATTTTTGCACCTGAAGTGAAAGGTGTAGCTGCGAGCAGTGCTGGTCTTTTAAATTGGCTATTGGCTTTCATTGTAACTAAATTTTATAACGTAGTATCTATGGCTGCTATATTTTGGATATTTTCTGGAATATCTGCAATTGCAATTTTCTTTGTATACATTTTAGTTCCTGAAACAAAAGGTAAATCTTTGGAAGATATTTTGAAAGATTTATAATTGATGAGTATTGAGATTTATCTTTTAAAAATGTTTCCTTACAAGACTATTTATTCAAATTTATAACTGTTTTGTAATATGCATGGCTAAGTTGTATTTAATTGAACAGAAGATCTTTCACGCAAGAAATAATATATTGAAAATTATAATGAATACTGTATGTAAAAATTATAACAAATATATACGAAAGATAATTTGTGCATATAATTTTAATAAATGAACATTCGAATTTTTTTCATGCTTGTATAACACAGATTATATTAATGAACAGCAAATCTGCAATCTGCAATTAAAAATAGTTTTATTAAATACCTGCAAATTTTTAAAAAATAAAATTCGACAAATTATTACTTTGATTCATTTATATTTATTATTTATCTGCAAATTAAGAAATTTATGCGTAATATAATATAACATGAAGTATCGTTCCATAAACATTTTAAAATGATTTCTTTTGTTTTATAATCAAGAACTTCTTCCTTAATTCACGCCCTTTATTTCTTGGCTCGATAATTGTTCGACAATTGCGGTCATATATAATGCTTATTTATAAATGAGTGAACAAGTATGTCTATACGTGATTATTTAATGGAATAATTAATGATTCATATTTTGATTCTGGTTAGGACATAGTATTTGAATTTTGACGATCTCAAAAGGCGTGCCGATTGAGGAAACGAATCGCTCGGACCCTTTCGTTGTCAGCCCCGACAAATTTCGTAGGGTATGTACAAACCTACCTCTCCAGGCTCGACAACAACGTAATTTTTAGAGTTGGTAACGCTGTAGAAATTATCTTCCAAGCGCACAGTGTTTTCATACTGCAGTCTTACATAGTTCAGTAGTCGACCGTTCGATTCAGGTAGAGTCCGCTGTGCATCGGGCCATTTTTGACAGTGTCGATATTTCAGAACGGTAGACGGAAAAATACATTGTATGTACGTCTGTACATATCTGAAATCCGTGGTCTATCTTTAACATAAATAAACAGTAGATGTCGCTAAATTTGAACTTTGATGCTGTTTGATACCATTCTTTATTATTGAATAAGATCAGAAACGCGGGAAAGTGACTTGTGGATGCTTTTAAATACTACAGAAAGGTTGGAATTTTGAAAGAAATAATGTCTAGTCCTAGATCATCAGGGACAAATAATAGTCCAAGTAGAACTCCTAGAAGACAAGCTCAGGGTTCTAGATCTCCTTCTGTTTTTGGCACGCCGCGTAAGTATTTTACCTAAAGGTTATTGTCATAGTGATTCTATTGTACTTCCTTAATCGAAATTTTTGTGATGTGTACTTTGAATATTAGGTGCTGCAATTCGCAGTGGAGTCGAAAATAATGTGGAAACTCCTTTACGATGGGGTACCACTGGCACACAACGAAATGCAGATGCTGAAAATCGAACTGCTACAATTGTTGCTTCCTCGGAACATGATAGTGCTGCTGGTTCTGGTGATCGTCTGACAGATCACTCAGGACAAATTATTGGATCGGAAACTGGTTTGCAATTGTCATCACCAGTAAATTATGGTACTCCAAGTTCTTTAGGATCGATTCGTACACCAAGGAGTGGAATTCGAGGTACTCCGATTCGACATAGGCCTGATATTAATACAGATAAACGTTTACGTCAGTTTCCATTACAAGAACCTGTAAGTGAATAATTAAAAGTATATTTTCAATATTCAAACTCATAAATGTTATTATTGAATTATAGAGTAATGAATTTACAGAAAAATATTTCGCATGACACGAATAATTATTTATTGTAATAGATTCCGGAAGTTCCAAATGTCCCAGGAACATCAGAAAGTGATACAGCTGGGCCTCATTTGGTTGTATGGGGAACAAATGTAGTTATTAATCAATGCAAGGAGCAATTCAAATTGTTCTTTCAACAATTTATTGATCCAGATGCTGAAAATGATGAACTACCAGAAAACATGAATTTATCAGAACCATTATATCTTCAAAAGCTAGAAGAAATACATACCTTAGAAGAACCATATTTAAATGTTAACTGTGCTCATGTGAAGTCTTTTGATCGGCATATTTATCAACAATTAGTTTCTTATCCTCAAGAAGTAATACCAACTCTTGACATGGCTGCAAATGAATTATTCTTTGAAAAATTCCCAGCAGCAGTATTGGAGCATCAAATACAAGTGCGTCCTTTCAATGTAGCCAAGATTATAACCATGAGGGAATTGAATCCTACCGATGTTGATCAATTAATTACTATACCTGGAATGGTGATTAGAGTATCAAGACTAATTCCACAAATGCGTGAAGCTTATTTTAAGTGCAGTATTTGTGCGTTTACAACTCTTGTTGAAATTGAAAAAGGAAAAACAAAAGAGCCTACAGTATGTGCATCTTGTTCGCATAAGTATTCCTTCACTTTAGTACATAATTTAAGTCATTTTTCTGACAAACAAATGATAAAATTACAAGAAGCTCCAGATGAAATGCCACAAGGCCAGACCCCTCATACTATTATTTTATTTGCTCATAATAATTTAGTGGATGCTGTCATGCCTGGAGATAGAGTCTCTGTTACTGGAATTTATAGAGCAGCTACTCATAAGCCTAATTTTGAACATAATTTGCAAGCTATTTACAGAACATACGTTGATGTAGTTCACTTTAGAAAATATGACTCAAAACGGTAAGAAGAAAATAGCTAAATGTTTTCCAAAGTTTTTTTTATCCTTATTATTTATTTTATATAATTTAGACTACACGATCAAGAAGATGGCAAGGAACATAATTTCACACCTCAAAGAGTGGAACTTTTGAAAATGTTATCGCAAAAGAAAGATGTGTATGAACAATTAGCAGGACATATTGCTCCTAGTATATATGCAAATACCGATGTGAAAAAAGGTATTGTATTGCAATTGTTTGGTGGAACTAGAAAATCTTCAACAATACATGGAAAACATTTTCGACCTGATATAAACATATTACTCTGTGGTGATCCTGGCACAAGCAAGTCACAATTATTACAATATGTTTATAATTTAGTACCAAGGTCTCAATATACCAGTGGAAAAGGTAGAACAATATATACTATATGTGGCCTTAACATTTATATATAACATTAATTAAGGGGTGCAATAAATAAATATTACAGGTTCCAGTGCTGTTGGTTTAACAGCGTACGTTACAAAAGATCCAGAAACTGGACAATTAATATTGCAAACAGGAGCATTGGGATTGGCAGATAATGGAATATGTTGTATCGATGAATTTGACAAAATGAATGAAAGTGCTAGATCAGTATTGCACGAAGTAATGGAACAGCAGACTTTAAGCATAGCTAAAGCTGGTATTATTTGTCAATTAAATGCCAGGACCAGTATACTTGCTGCAGCTAATCCATGCGAATCTCAGTGGAATAAAAATAAAACTGTATTGTATCCAACAAAATAACTTCATTATAATATTTAATTAAATTGATTATAAATTACTTTTACATGTATATTTTCTTTTTCAGGTGGTCGAAAATGTGAAATTACCCCACACTTTACTTTCTCGATTTGATTTAATATTTTTAATGTTAGATCCTCAAAATGATGCGTATGACAATAAACTCGCAACTCATATGGTATCCTTATATTATAAAACATCAAAAGACAATGAAGATGAACAACTAAATAGGGGCATTGTTCGTGATTATATAGTCTTTGCAAAGGAACATGTGCAACCTGTTCTCAACGAAGAAAGTCAACAGAGGCTGATACAAGCTTATGTCGATATGAGAAGAGTTGGGAGAGGACGTGGACAAATAACAGCATACCCTAGACAATTAGAATCTCTGATAAGATTGGCTGAAGCACATGCCAAATTACGATTAAGTCCCATTGTAGAGTTACACGATGTGGAGGAAGCTTGGAGGTATATAATATAAATATACAGATATACAGTTATTAAAATTATATATTGCGATACTTATTTTTATGTGATAGGTTACACAGAGAAGCTCTGAAACAATCTGCTATTGACCCACTAAGTGGTAAAATAGATATTAGTATTCTAACTACTGGCATATCTTCGGTAGCCCGGAAAAAGAAGAAGGAATTATGCGATGCACTCCAAAAAATTATTGAAAACAAGGATAAAATTCACATACTTAATCAACAGAAACTTCTTGCAGAAATTAGACAATCTTCTGAATTGGTTAGTAAAGACTGTATATTCAATGTTATATTAACCATTTCTGTTCTGAAAGTACTTAAAAATACTACTATCATTACATTGATAATATATAATGACATTAATATTTTTTTATTAGATGATTACTAAAGACATGTTTGAAGATGCTTTACGGGAACTACAAGATAATGGACTAATAACAGTGATTGGAAGAAGCAGTATTCGCATATCATAATTATGAATATATTATACATTTTACTATTTTTGTAAAAGACCAGATGAACTATGCATTATAAAAGGTGTTGAAAACATTTTTTTAAATAAAGCATTTAAATTTTCATATACTTTCAAGTTGTAAATAATTCTTTTAATTTGCGAATTAACATTTTTTACTACATTTCTAACATAGTACATGTCCCTATTTTTTATTCATTTCGGATCAGATTTTTAATAGGTAAATGAGATACTCATTCAACATTTTATAGGTGAGAACCCAATAATTATAATGAAAAGTTACGTTGTAATCATGAAATTTCACTTATATAACATAACATTTTCCGAACAATCTGTAAAATAATATGGTTTCATGAATAGAATGTATGTTCAATTAAAAAACATATATTTAATCAATGGCCCTACAATTGATTTTTATCTATTATTTTTTAATATAGAAAAATATTTGAATTGATTAAATATTCGTATTTACTGTGTGTAATTCGTGCGAAAGTAAATAAATTCGAGTTTTATTAATGCGCATCCGCAAAAATTTTTTTCAATTGAATGCACCATTGCATTGGTTGTGTCTGATACGTGATTATACATTTTTTGCCCTCTCACTGAAAGAGTTATTTCGGAAAATTTCTTTTGGAATTAATATTTTTGCATGGTAATAAGGTCAAAGTATTAGATATGTAAGTTTCGCTGGAGTTTTTTGTGTTCATAAAAACACCATTTTCATTCTTTAAGGATAAATAAAGACCTATGATCATAATTGAGGCCACAAATCGAGGTCAGGAGTGCTGCATTCAAGCAGAGACCTCCTACTGCGCTTCCCACAACAAAATAAGGAAAAATTACAAGAAATATTTGTTAAGTCTCGGTTTTTACATTTTCACGTGGATAATTTCCTTCTCGTTATTTAGATTTCCTTCCTCTCGATCTTTCCCATCTATCCTTTCTTTCGTTCTATGATCTTCTTCTACCTTACGTTTGACACCATTTATCTATCTCTCTTGTACTCATTCTCTATGCGTTCTCTCTCTTTGTTTCACGACACTTCAAGTCCTTCTCTGTCCCTCTTAATCTTTCGTGCTCTGTCGAATCGAACTAGCCCCCTTCCTGCGAATTTACGTGGATATTTCTACTTGTGAACGGTTCCCAACCTTCAGGATGCAAGCCATTAAGTGCGTTGTTGTAGGCGACGGGTGAGTATTTTCAAATTTATTATAACGTTTCTCAATTGTTTGTCTTCTCCTATTTTCGATCCACACTACGATCTAGAGATCTGATGATTGGTTTTTCCTGATCAAGAACACTATTTCAAAACAGGCACCACACCCGTTATTCTTTTAAATGGATTTTTATCAATTTCTTCGTCAACTTTGCAATATTAAGGAAAAAACCGAATGGTTTATTTTGAAATTCTCGTTCAATTCTATATAATTCATTTCCTCGATCTTTTTCCTCCACTTTCATTATCTCTTTTCTCCCCTCCCTCTTTCTCCCATGTTCAAGTTTACTTGTAAGTTTCACAGCATTATCAACTTTCTTTGATACATTCAAAACTTTTTACTTTTGTTTAACCTGTAATTAACCTTTTTCCGTTAAAGATTATACTATTCTAGATTTATACGATCTATTTAATTTTCTATAATTGAATATAATTTCTACAGAGCCGTAGGTAAAACATGCCTTCTCATAAGCTACACTACCAATGCCTTCCCCGGGGAATATATTCCAACTGTGTTTGACAATTATTCTGCGAACGTTATGGTGGATGGCAAACCGATCAATCTTGGTTTATGGGATACGGCAGGCCAAGAAGATTACGACAGACTGAGACCATTATCGTACCCTCAAACAGATGTCTTTTTGATTTGTTTTTCTTTGGTCAACCCTGCCAGTTTTGAAAATGTTCGTGCTAAGTGGTATCCAGAGGTGCGTCATCATTGTCCAGCTACTCCGATCATTTTAGTAGGGACTAAATTAGATTTGCGCGAAGACAAGGAAACCATCGAACGATTAAAAGACAAGAAATTGGCACCAATTACATATCCTCAGGCATGTATTAATTTATTACTTACTTAGTAGTTAAACAAGGAATTTTAATCGGGGACTTGAAGTCAAGATTCTTTTATGAAAGCATTAATTTTACAATATTTATAATATTATAATATCGCAAAATCTGCAAAATCTGCAAAATCTGCAAAATCTGCAAAATCTGCAAAATCTGCAAAATCTGCAAAATCTGCAAAATCTGCAAAATCTGCAAAATCAAAAAATACAAAAGAAAAGTAAATCTATGAAACTTTTAATCATAATTCTTTGAAAATTCATTTCATTCAGTTTTTTCGTATCTATTTACATAAACAAAACATCTTAGATGGACCGAGGTCCTGTATAAAATCTACACTGTGAATACACATTAAGAAAAATACAATTATCGCTTAATACTTTACATTATAATTTATTTTGAAAATATAAATGATAGAGCGATCAAATGAAAATACTGACAATAATAATATTAATAGTCAATGATACATATTTTGTTGACTTTATTAATTAATCTATTTTTGTAATGGTTATGCAGATGTAAATCATTGGTGTTTGGTATAGTAGTTCAAGTCCCTGTATTAAATTGATACGTTCATCGGTTTGAAATGTTTTAACCGAAAGTAATGGTTTTGTTTTACACGATTATCAGGGTTTAACAATGGCAAAAGAAATCGGAGCAGTGAAGTATTTAGAATGTTCGGCTTTGACTCAAAAAGGATTAAAAACAGTATTCGACGAAGCAATCCGTGCAGTACTGTGCCCGGTTCTCCAAGTGAAACCAAAACGCAAATGTTTCCTCCTATAATATTAAATGTCCGATAACGGCGGAGCACGTGTAAATGTACTACTCCTCCTCCGATCGGACTCGACTGCAGCAGGACATCTAACTCTGATAAAGGAAAAAATGCTGTATGGTCCATCTCTCTACAAGCATCTGCCATAAAAGCGCACAAATAAATTTGTATAATGCGTATAAAAAGGTAAAGGAGAAGAAAATATACGCAATTTAAGTGTTTTGGACATAGCTAAATGTTCTGAACGGAGCAAGAAAGCCAAATGAAAAACTGAACTGATAATGTACAGTATAGTAGAGTGTGTTATTAATATTAGTTATTACATATGAATCATAAGGAAACAAAACATTATTATGTATGTGCGTTTGTGTGCACACTGGATACTAATCAATTTAATCGAAGAGGTAAACCATTTTATGCAATTTTGCATTGTATATTTTAGATAAAAAAAAGTGTTTATCCATTTTTAAAAGCTTTAGTATAGGGAAAAAATTAATATAGCGTAAATATTAACGTATAAAGTATTAAAAATATTGCAGTTGCGTAAACAGTAATTTTGTTTATTTCTTACTTGTTGTGTATGTTACTTTTTCCATAAGAAGCATTTTTTCTCTGATAAGTTGAGATCTTCTCCAACCGATTGAATTCCATTCGGAGCGAGTTAACGATGCATTAATCTATATATGTTCGATAGTAAATATACAGTTGCAAATCACATAAAATGACTTCCACCTTTAACTAAATTGGTTGATATTACTATATACATACCATGGTATAAGATAGATAGTCATCTAAGTTTTAGAGGTGAGCAATATAAGTGCGATTCTAATTCTCTGCCTCTCTGCTGCGTTTTCATGTTGCTGTAATTGACAGGCGCGACATGGCTAAAGAAATAACAATACAAAAGTTTAATATCAGAGGTGGGGAAATTTAGTATGTGTGAGAGCGTATGTTTGAAAGAGTGCGCGTAAAAGCCAAGAGAGAAAGACGGAAGAAGGAATTATTCTATAGCAAGTAATTGTACATAAATGGTAAAAGTTCAAACTGTATTCCTATTACTATCATTTTACATGTATAAGCTGCTGAATCTAAATCGAACGTTACTTGTTTTTTATATATATATTATAAATATATATAAAGTGGGGCTGGACCGAGATCTATTTCAATCGTCGCAGATCCACTGACCTGTGCAATCTATCCGGGGAACGGGAATTCAGTCCATGAAAAATATCATAAATAATGTAACTAAATATGCTTTATTAAATGGGTGTTTATTAAAATGTTCTAGTTATTCATTACGCCGTTGTGTCAAAAAACGTATCGATCATTCTGGATATTTGTTCAGGAGTATATTTTATATATTTCGTTGGGTTCTTGGAAAATGATATTCCACGATATTTATTATGGAAAACTGTATAAAGGGGGATTATATCTTGCTGAAGTTCTTTCCGTAACTCTTCTCGTAACCGAGCATCAGGTACAGAATAAGACCGTTGACACTTTGCGACTTCCTCTAATTCTCTAGTAAATCCTAAGAATTTTTCTTTCAACGTTTTTGCTCCTGGTTCTGTGAATATAATGGTAACATTTATAAATTTCTTTTTGTATTCGTTTCTATCTTACCTATTATATAATTCACGCATATTATATATATATATATAAATTACCGTAATTATGTTACACGACTTGTATATTTCACAAAATTTTAAATATTTCCATATTATTATTAATTACAACAAATTTTAATGAATTGTCACGGACACGCAATTTTATATGTATAATAAACAAAAATAAAAACTAGCCTTTTATTTTTTTAAATGATAAAATATGATAAAATATTTACGGGAACAAAGAAACAAACCTGGCTCGTCGATGGGCTGTTCGAGGTAAGTGCGTGCTTTCGTAAATGTGGTCGACACATAATTACTTTTATCTCGTACTAAAATGTCATGATACGATTGTTCCGCGGTAGGCTCTGCTAATAACAGCAGTTCCATCAAAGAACTACGACGCAAAGCATTTACCACGTGATTATGATTATTCAAACGAAAGAGAGCTCGTAGCGCAGCGTCCGAATAACAAGTGTCACTTTTACTTACAAGTGCTAAATTTAACTGTGCTAATACTTTCTCTGAAACAACGACATTCTGTTAAAGTAACCAACATTGTTTACGTGGCAATGGATTCATAAACATAGAGTTTAGGAATCTTACAGAGAGAAAAAGAATACTAACTGATATACGTTCCCAGAACGATCCTGTACATATTTTCCGATTGTTTTACAGAAATTGTACCCTCCATATCAGTGCTGCGTCTTAAAACAACTCCCGCGGTATCCGCGTACTCTGCTAGTTGCTCCAAGAATACTAACACGTTGCTTGTACTTTCTGCTACTGTTCCATCTTTAGGTAAAACTGAATTAGATTCGTTTCGAACGCTCTCCGCAAAGTCTTCCAGTGCTTTTGCACCCTATCAAAAATTACACAATTTAATATATTGATAAAAGAGTGAATCCAGAAATGTGATTTTGGAATGACTTACAGTTACATTCAGAGTATTAAGCACGGAAGTAAATTTCGACCTAAGGGCGTAATCGCAACCCTCGACAGTCCGCTCCAAGTCGGGTTTCAGCTCTCCAAGGTGTTTTAAAATCGGGAAAATTACTAATACCGCTGAAAAGTCACGTCGTACGATGCATCTTTTAGCACGGGTTGCTATACTTTCACCATCGTGAGCTACCAGATCCATAGCTTCGCGCACAGTCTCTTCTAAAACTTGTGCCTGCAAAGTGATTGGCAAAATCTTGGCAACCAGTGACCGCTCGGCTTGCATAAGTTTGTGAAGCCCAACTGTTAATAATAAATAATTTTCCATTTCTTGTTCATCCGGTGCTGTATCCTCTACAGAGTGACCAGTCAATTGTGGCGGCGGTTTTCTGGATGCAGTTAAGGATAATCCTAAGCCAGTAGTTTGAGAAGCTTTTAATAACATTCTACTGGCTTTCTTTTCAATGGCATGCTGTAATCTTTTAGAAGCCCTCCTTCCACTAGCTTCTTGACCGCCTATCGAGTGTCTGTTACCAAATTTCGCTTTCTACAAAGTATAATATAATTGTTAATCCTTAAAAAAGTATGTTACTCTATGTAAAGTGTATATAAATTACTTACTGGTAAAGGACTTCCAGCATGTGTACTGCCACCGCTAGCACTTCTTTGATGTTCTTTTAGTAATTGTAAAGACCTTAAAACAATTGCAGAACGTACAGATGCATAAATTTTCACATGTTTACGGTGTCCCCTCTCCTCGAGCCAACCAGCAATTTTAAGTAAGTCTCCTAATATGCTTTCTGGTAATTGACAAAGAGATTGCGGAGCATCTTCGCCACTGGTATCTTCGTCGGAACCAATTAAATCCAAAAGCACAATCGGTAATATCGGTTTACTTTGTCTAGTTAAAATATCATGAAATTCTGCGTACAAAGCGTCTAATCCAACGACAAATAAACTCGTTACATTTTCCAATTCTACCGAGCTTGGATTATTTTTTTGAAAATAGCGCTGTGCATTAAATAAACGATTCATTGCTTCTAAGAAACTATCTAATCCTCCAGATCCTCCTGGACCTGCTTGCACTGCTCCTTCTACTTCCTGACAAACTCCATAATATCCAATGGCATGATCTAAAGCATTTAAAGTTCTTTCTATGTCTGTAAAAATCAAATAAACGTACAATTAACTTTCATTCATTTTATTTAATCAGAAATAGTATTTAATTTTTTTAATTTAAATTCATTAAAAATATAAAGTTTACCAAGAATATAGAAACAACCAACACAATATACGATAAACACTATGATATAATTTATAGATAATTGCTAAGAATAGGCAAATTTATAACTTATTTTGTACAAAAACAAAACATATACTTTGTTGTTGTGCTTGAAGATTTCCTGTTTCATTGTAAACAGGAAGTATAGTGCGCCTTAATGTTGCAAGACGTTGTTCCAGAGAAGAAAGTATTCCCACAACATTATTAGTTAATTTTCTACTTCGTTCTTCTGCTTCCTTCAAAGCTTCTAAGGATGCAATTTCTGTCTCTAATTTACATTGTATCTCGAATCTTCGTTCAGAAGTATCTGCTCTAGTAATGTGCATCATCTTATCTGCAAATAATAAAATAACAGATGTGAAAAATAAATTCAATAAATATGAAGATTTTAGGTTTCAAGTATATTATAAAACATAAAATTATTTATTAAGAATTATATAAGCATAAAAATTTGAAATAAAATAAATTATATATACTTTCTTTATTTTATATGTACTATCATTACACTTGTAATATATAACAGTATAAAAAATAAAGAATTGTATAAAATCGTTGTTTATTGTATAAATTCAAGACAAATAAACTTTTATTTAATTTCAATTTTTACGAGATGTTCTACAGAAACATTAATTTATATACACATCCAAAGCTTAGTAAGTACTTAAAATAATAAGTTTTGCATGAACAAAATCAATTTTTGTACCATTAAAAAATATAAAATCTAAATGATATAATGCAACTATAAACACACCTTTTGTTGTAAATGACGACTTACATGATAACGATTTTGTGGTTCGTAGAATATATTGTTACAATAACTAAAAATTAATCTTATATTACAAATATTTACATTTCACGATAAACGATACTATTCGATCAGAAAAGAACCTAAGTTTGACACATGACAGAACATTCTTACGTAATTTTTTAATGTCAAATTTTAAGGTTATACTACAACTTTCTAGACAGTGTCACCAACACTGGATGCTGGTATGGTGCTTAATTTTTAATAATTGTTCTTTTTATTCATTTATGTACGTAAATAAATTTATAAGAATTCTTTATACTTTGATAAAATTTACTTGAAATATAACTTATAAGGTACTTGATACTTTTATGATATGAGTTCATTCTTTTTTTTACACGTTATTGGTTCTTAAAAACTTCTGAACTATAAATTGATATATATATATAAGGACAAGAAACTTGTGTTCTTTAAGTTTCATAATACTATACAAGAATATAAAATACTTTAAAAACTATCTTGAAAATATATAATTTTTCTATCGAAAATATTTCTTGCAAAATTTTGAATTCATCATTGGACAAAATTTGTTTATTATAAATATTATAATGAAACATTGTGCTTGCATCCATTGTATTTAATAAAAATTAATTAAAATCAATGATTTTGTGTAGATTAATTAACTTTAACTGAGGTAATAATATACGTTACCTAATACGTACTCTTGTTAATTCATAACGATCATAAAACGTGCATAAAGTATAATAATTATAAATTTAAAATAGTTATTAGTTTTATAGTTAAAAGGAATATATATAAAACGTTACATGTAGGCAAATACTTGTATATATGCTACATATATATGTATATATGTATATATGTATATATGTATATAAGAAAATAATTTACTGAATTGAAAAATTAAATTACGACTTCGTACTCAGCATATGACAATACATTCAACTGAAGACACTACATACAAGAACTGTGTGAAAAAACAAGTTGTATTTCTTCCAATAATTTAAAACGCTAATATAAAAGTTCGCGATACAAATTATATGATACTTAAATTATTTCTTCATAAGAAAAAGTTGGCACTTCTGAATTAAGCAGCTGTTTAGAACGCAAGTACACAGTAAATCGTTCAAGGCCAACGTGAACAAAACTCGAAAAAGTTGGATCGAATTCGATTTTTTACTTTGTGTATTTAAATCGAATAATTAGTAACATATCATTCATAAAGCTAGAAAAATATTGCCATGTAATAAAATATAAAATTTTATTTTCATCATTATAAATATATTTTAATAGACATATTTTAGTATGAATTTTTAATCTACTATCATAAGTTTGTAAATTACAAAATATTTAACCGTTTTATTCGGTTATAATTGTATATTGACAAAATTCAGTACAGTTTCGTTATTTTGTAATAATGGAAAAATATTTCTGAAATATGAACAATATTAATATCTGAATAAATTGTATGATATTCTAGCTTTTAGAAAACAATCTTAATATGGATAAACCTGTATCTTCTGATATTGTACTTATTGCTGGTAATTCTCATCCAGAGCTTGCAAATCTTATTGCTAAGTAAGTTTCTATAAATATGTGCTTGTATAATGTTATTATGTTATATGCTATTCCTTTATTTTAAAGTCGATTGGGCGTTAAGCATGGAGGATGTTCCGTATATCATAAATCAAATCGTGAAACCATGGTCGAGATTGGAGACTCTGTACGCAGTAAAGACCTGTATATCATACAAACCGGCACAAAGGATGTAAATAATAATATAATGGAACTTCTGATTATGGCATATGCATGCAAAACTTCTTCAGCAAAAAATATTGTTGGTGTTATTCCATATTTACCATACTCTAAACAATGTAAAATGCGTAAACGTGGTTGCATAGTATCAAAATTATTAGCAAAAATGCTTTGCAAGAGTGGATTAACTCATATCATTACAATGGATCTACATCAGAAAGAAATACAAGGATTTTTCGATGTTCCAGTGGATAATTTACGTGCTAGTCCATTTTTACTTCAATATATTCAAGAATCTGTATGTAGATAATACAATTATTATACATTTTCATTTGTTATTTATAAATTTATTCTACTAGATTCCAGATTACCATAATTCTGTAATAGTTGCCAGAAATCCTGGTAGTGCTAAAAAAGCAACCAGCTACGCTGAAAGATTACGTTTGGGTATAGCAGTGATACATGGAGAACAGCGAGAAGCGGAATCAGATATGAATGATGGACGTTATTCTCCACCTGCTTTAGCATCACGAACAATGGAAGTTGGAGTTGGTGTTCCAATGCATCCTGCCAAAGAAAAACCACCAATTAATGTTGTAGGAGATGTGGGTGGACGCATAGCTATCATGGTGGTATGTAAATCTAATTTATATTTTGTAAAAGAAAGAAATATAAAATTTAACTTTTGTTTCAGGATGACATGATAGATGATGTTCAATCTTATGTAGCTGCAGCAGAAGTTCTTAAAGAAAGGGGAGCGTATAAAATTTATGTATTAGCTACGCATGGACTTTTAAGTTCTGATGCACCAAGATTAATAGAAGAGTCTCCAATCGATGAGGTAATACCACTTGAAATTAATATTTACGACAGAATTAAAATAAGAATTGATAAAAATTTGATTAGCTACATATGAAAATAAATTTTAAATATTAAATTTGTATTTGTTGTTTGAAGGTTGTTGTAACAAATACAGTACCTCATGATGTCCAAAAAATGCAGTGCCCAAAAATAAAAACCGTCGATATCAGTATTTTGCTGGCTGAGGCTATTAGACGTATTCATAATAAGGAATCAATGTCGTATTTATTTAAAAATGTCACTTTGGAAGATTAAAAAATACATTGAAGTAATAGATGTTAAGCATAAAGCAGTTTCCACATCCTGGGACCATACTCTAAACATATCTATTAAATTTTGTTTATTATTTTACAGATTAATGAACATGCTAGTCTGTACAAAATTGTCAGTGATCAGATTATTTGAATACCTCCATACATTTAGTTTTTTCATATACATTCTATATTCATAAGCCTATGTAAGTTACAATTACAAAGTTTGGTATTAATACTAATTCAATGTTATAATACCACGAAAAATGTATTTTTTATTCAAGAAATGATAGGCATGTTTTAGAATTTCAAAATTATAAATATATTATTTCACAGAGTAAATTAATAATGTAAATTAAATAGAAAACTAGAAAAGTTGTTTTATTTCCTTTAACTTAAAAATAAAATAAATAAAACAAATATTTGATTTAAAATGAATAAATCAATAGAAATGTTGCTATGGAAATACACAATTCCATAACGACAGTTCTAAATCTAATTCCTTTTTACAAACATTAGTCTGTAGAACGTCTGTTAGTTCTTTCAAAATGTCTGTAGAAACTACAAATCACAAATTTATAAAAATTTGTGTTATGTTACAATCGGAAGAAAAGAAACGTCGTATACAAGGTTTAAAAGAAATACTAGATATTTTAAAATTATCATATCCTGAAAGTGAAATTCTTGAATTGTGGAATGCTGTAAACAAATGTTTACTTAAAATTTTAACTGATCCTGCAGAAATTTGTCGTGATAAAGCTTTAGAAATTTTCAAGTTGCTTATAACTAATTTAACACCTCATGATAATTACATTATGTATTTGCTTCCAATTTTATCAAGGCGATTGGGTTCACAGGATCTGATAGAAAGTTCAGAAGAAATCAGGTTGAAGTGTGTTACATTATTGAAGTTATTAATATTGAAATATAATAATTTACTGGCATCGTATATCGACGATTTAATAAAAATATTAATCCACACTATAACAGATAATTATTCATTAGTTAAAAGAGAAAGTTGTGCTTGTGTATCTGAACTTGCTAAGAATTTATCAAAACACCTGTACGTTCATTCTGAGAAATTTTTAAAACCTATTTTGGATAATTTTACACACCAACATTATAGAGTTAGAATCAGTTCTATTATTTCGATTGGGGATTTGATTCAATATGGAAATAGTAAATGTATAGAAAATGTGGCTACCCCTTTAGCTGAAAGATTATTTGATCAAAACGGCCTAGTGAGAACAGGTATTCTGTTACTTTAAGTTATTCTCATTTTAACTTTATTTACATTAATACATAATAAGGATAATTATAATTCTCCATAGCTGTAGTAGAAGTAGCAGGTTACTGGCTTTTAAATTTAAAAGATCGGTACAGCTGGTGGCACAAAATTCTTCCATTGCTTTTAACGGGTCTTCATGATGAGTTACAAGAAATTAGAGAAAAGGCTGGAAATCTTTGGGATGCTGTAGGACAATTATACATAACAGAAAATCAGAATGATGAAAAATTTAAAGATAAATTGGACTTTCTTACAGAGGCTCCTCATCATTATCCTAACAGTATGTTAAATGTTCATGCTTAATTATTTTTATTATATGACATTACTTATTTATATTATTATAAATCTTTTACAGTTGTCAGACCAAATTTAGGATGTCGTGTAATAGCGCAGCAAACTTTTAGTAAACTGATTAATGGAATTAATACAGAATTAGGAGATTGGATGCCAGATATAAGAGTGCGATCTGCTCAGTTACTTTGCGTATTCATTTTAAACATAGAAGAAGATATAATACAACATATTGAAAAGCTTTTACCATCTATGTATCGGTAGACATGGAATTTTTAACTATAAATTATGTTACAAATGTGTAACTTTTAATTACATTTATTTTTATCTTATATATCGTTCAACAGGGCCTGTAACGATGAAGATGAAAGAGTTGTAGAAAACATAGAAAGAGCAGCAGAATATTTAGGATATTTTGTGCCTCCTAAAACTTTCTGCCATTTAATAATACCTACTCTTGAGGAAACTCCATCAGTTGGTCACTTGAAGATATTTGCTGCAATTATAAGAAGTAGTGAACCCTACAGGCTCCTTCCATTATTAGAAACAATTGGAAAATTTATGGCGCAACCACATATTTGTCAAAGTAAAAAAATAGCATATCAACAACAAGTGCTTTCTTGTTGTCATTCCTTAATTTCAGTATGCAAGGAGGTTCATTTCTTTCATAAACTTTTCCATACTTAAAATTCTTTGCTATTTATTAATTTTAACATATTTAAAAATTTTTCAGGATTGTAAACTCATATCAAAGGACTTATTCATAGTAGTATTCACTGTTCTGTCTATGGCAAAAGGGCATGCTATAAAATTGGAAGCAAAAGAAGTTTTATATACCCTTACACGTATTAACAACTTTGACAATGTAGAAAAACTCTATTGTGAATATACTAGAGAGATAATTCCATTATTTTCTGATTGTAAATCATGGTCAATTCATAATCCTGAGTCTCAAATTTTCTGTGCATGTTTAATCTATATCAAAACAGTTCTCAATTTTAATATGGATACTATGTTACCGATTTTAAAACAAACCATGGCTAGCGATGCTGACCCTGAATTGAGATTAAAACATTTAATCTTGTTATCAGAATATTTCAATCGAGAATCGTTACATGTAATTATAGATTTAAAATTCCTTAATCAGTTTTTGGAAGATTGCATACTTCCTGGATTAGTTTGGACTGCAGGTAGAGCTGCTGAAACTATACGCACTGCAGCAGTAGGCTGTCTATGTGCACTTTTGCAAAAGTATAGAGCAGATTCTTTAACACAAGGAAATCAATATCCTTTAGAAGAAAACACTTTTGCAACGCTAGAAAAAATAATTCCTACTTTAATTAGTCTTGCAGATGATAATTCTAAAAGGAGTAGACTATATTCTTTGCAAGCCTTATATTTGATAATGTGCATCAGAAATAAATCTTGTAATCTCACCGAAGAATTTATACACAAAATATATCCTATACTTCTAAAAAGATTAGATGATGGATGTGACAATATTAGATCAGCATCTTTAGAAGTTCTAGTAGAAATTTGGAATCTTATACCTAAGGATTATAATTTACATTTCAATAAAGCACATATAGATACACTATATACTACTACCATAATATATTTAGATGATCCAGAAAGTGAATTTCAAAATTTTATGTTAGGTAATTATATAATGTTATATTAATGCTGTAATGGATTTATATTAATATTGTAATATTGCTAATATTGCTAATATTAATACATTGTATTTGTACACTTATTTCAGATAGTTTAAAAGAATTAGCAAAAGTGCATCCAGAACTATTATATCAAAAGCTTCAAAACTGTAAAACAAATTTTAGAAACCAAAAAGGTATCGAAGTTCTATTAGAACATTGTCAACATATTTTAAGGAATAATTAAAATTCCTAAATGGTAATACATTCAGTAACAAGTAATATTAATATTGGGAAAAAACATCTTATTAGTATTTTACAATTACGTTTAAATTTATCTTTGACCATAATTGTATATCTATGTATTAAAGCAATCTATACATCCCAAATAAATAATTATGGTAAACATGGCTTATATAATTTACAGGATATTTTAATATACTTTAAAACAGGTTGTAAAAAGTGTATATTAAAGATTTCGTAAATTACAAATAATCATTCGTATTATAGTTAATAAATGACGTCATGCATAATTTAAAAATATATGTAAGTATAGTTATGGAGAGATAATGTTATTTCGATTGAATATACAAAAATAATTCGCAAATTTAGTTAAAAAGTAAATTTGTCGAGAAAGAAAATATGAAATTGCATATATACGAATTTATATGCATGGATATAGACATACTATCGGTGTCATAAAACGCGGGAAATATTTCGTATCTTTAATAAGAACACAATTCAATAAAATTCAATATTTAACATAAAAACTAGAAAAAATTAAATGGGAACAAAATGATCTAATTTGGAAGATATTATAAATTTAAAAATAAAATAAGGTATATGTTTGTAATAAGAAATCATTAAACAAACAGTTAAAAAGAGAAGTTAACCTTGAATGACTATCAGAACAGGAAGTACCCGCCCTTTTGATGCCGCCATATTGTCCATGTCTTCCGCTTTGAGAAGCGAATCACAGAGGGGTGGCAAACAGGATTAAGAGTTTGCTAATAATTTTGCATAAGTTTTCATTCTTTAATCTTATTCATTCTACTTTATAATTAAGGTAAGTTTACTATGCTCACATTTACTTGTTTCTGAAGTTGAATTATTTTTTATTGATCACTTGTTAACGGTTTTGCACTTTCATCCAGACATTTTTTATCTGCCTGTCATTTTCCTGCTTCGAAATTTCTGGCCCTTCCATTGTATGATTGATTAATTCTCTGATATTTTTCTCATTCCTTTTGTGTATTACGAAAACGTGCAACAATGACAAGAGAAACATACATTACCGTTGTTTTTTTATCATCTAATACTTCTAAAAATATTCTACAGAAACATGCTATATGATGATGTATACATGTATGATGTGTGTGAATATGTATGCGTATGTATATTGAAATTAAAATACTCTAAAATAGATTTAAAATTGCTAATGTAGTGTTTGTATTTTCAATTCTTTATTCCAATTTTTCATTTCCTATTCACATTATTTTATCCAATTATTTATTTATTTATTTATTTATTTATTTGTTTGTTTCTATAATAATGATTTAAAATTCGATATTTGCTCGTTTTAATATTATATTAAGTACAGTAGCATGCATAATAAGAAAATATTAGAACAATAAATAAATGTAGAATAAAATTGTTGAAAATGTGACAATAACTTTATTGCAGCAAAAATGTCAGAGTCAAATGCAGATCATATAGATCCGGTGGAAGAGGAATTGGAAGTAGAATCCAATTATAAGCCTCCTCCAGAAAAGACGATCGAACAGATTTTAGAAACAGACAAAGAAGATGAAAGTTTACGTAAATATAAAGAAACGCTTCTAGGAGAAGCAAAATCTGGTGGTATTGTTGTAGGTATGAAAGTTATTAAGTACTTAAAGTTGTCCAATAAAGAATAACGTACAAGAACATAATATTATAAATATTTTATAGATCCAAATGATCCAAGAAAGGTAATAGTAAAAAAGTTAGCGTTGTGTGTTGCGGACCGACCAGATATGGAATTGGATTTATCAGGTGATTTTTCTCAACTGAAGAAACAAACATTTGTGATAAAGGAAGGCGTTAGTTATAGAATAAGGATTGACTTTATTGTGCAACGTGAAATTGTGCATGGTTTAAAATACGTTCAGAAGACATACCGTCTTGGAGTACCCGGTAAGTTGTAATAAAAGTCAGGCATTAATTATCCGATAAATATTGTTAATTGATAATTGTAAATCATAATTAACTAAAAATGACATTAAATTTATATTCGATTTTTGTTTAATGTTTTCCTTGCTAGGTGTCACAGGTAATTTTACCATTCAGTACTCGCATAGTAAAATTAATTATTCATTGCCAAGTTCATCAACGGATCTTATGTTACATTTCAGTTGATAAAATGATGCATATGGTCGGTTCTTATCCACCGAAAACAGAAGTGCAATCGTATACAACCCCAGCAGAGGACGCACCAGCTGGAGTAATGGCGCGTGGTGCCTATAGTGTAAGCTCCTTGTTTACTGATGATGACAAGCATGAACACCTAAAGTGGGAGTGGTCATTTGAAATTAAGAAAGACTGGAAAGAATAAGCTTCCTTTCATAACTGGGAGCCCTACAATGATCACAATTAAAATAAAAATGCCAAAAGGGACTCTAATTTTGATAGCTATTCAGCCGTAATGCGATGCCATAACTGTATTTTCTAAGTAATAAGAGAAAGAGTAATGTTGATATTTATTTAGATACTTTTCCTGAATCGTAAACCTTGAACATGAACAGTTTGATGTGTGCGTGTGCGTGTGCGAGTGCGTGCGCGTGCGTACACATGGAAACATGCATATATCATACACAGAATGAAAAACACGCCTGCGCAAACGCATTATATGTATACACACACACACATAAATATATACATACATACATACACAACACACAACACACATGTGTACCACCGAATCATGTAGACACTATTTTGTAATTGTTTAAATTGTGCACAATGTTGATCAGTATTTGATTAATCTTACAGTGTAGTTGACTATATCCTATTTTAATTTGTTTTGCTTAAGAAACAAAATTAAGATTTTTTAATGCAATAGTATTTATGTATTACTTCATTGAAGAAATTAGATATTATTTTAATACATTTCCATTAATAGAGAAAAAAATAAATGCCAATTTCTTTAATTATTATTTAAAAAAAAAACTATGTTTTTTAAAGTTGAGAAATTTAAAACATAATATAAGATTGAAAAAAATATTTAAAATATATAATTTAAAGGCATTGCAAATTTAGAGAATTTGGAGTGTGCACTAAAAATATTCCTTGTATCGTGTATGTTAATATTACTTTTTATATGTTCCTTTATATGGGGTTTGTTGTTATTATAGTATTTGAAAGTGCGCAGTACTTTCTTTAAGTGCATTATAAGTTATTGCATTGCTTAAAATTTAGTGTTTACAATTTCAACAGTCGTTTCATAAACTGTAATATAAAAAGGGGTTTGTAACATAAATTAGTAGCAAGAAACTGTCATTGGAATTGTAATTTCAAATTACAATAAAAATTTGTAAAATGGAAAACTTTAATGTAGGGAAAATTCATATACTTTCTTTTACAAATTTTTTAATCTGTAGCAATAAGTGCGAATAATATAAAATTCGTATGCATGTTGCACATATTCGAAAGTGCATTTTAATCTAATCAATAGTAATCGAAAGACCAATCTATTAAAATGTGTTTTAATCAGTTGTATACTTCATTTCGTGTAAAGTATACAAATTTGTAGTTATTTGATTAATACTGATGTCCATCATTCTTTTTCCTCATTAGAAATATTATTGATACAAAAATGTATAACATCTAACAAACTAGAATGCTTTAGATGATTTCTTTCCTTCAATGCTTAAATACATGTGATTTACATTTACAGCACAGTTTAATATAAAACGAACGAATGAATGAATGAATGTTTTGTCATTCATTAATACTATGCATTTATTAACCTGAAGTTTATATGCTAAGGTAATAATTTGAAGGTTATATACGAAAGTAAATCTTGTAATTTTTCAATTCATGTTATTATAATTTTTCTGAAATGAATGTATATATGCATATATGGTCAATTATAATGATGTATTTTATATATACACTTTAAGAAAGTTACGACACTTAATTTATATCTTGTTTATTAATTCTTTTGCAATTAATTCTAATAATTTGTTATCGATAAGTATAAAAATGCAATATAAGTATGGTATAACCATTTAGGTATAAGTATGAAAATTTACTTTATTCCATTATATTATATGCAAAGGATAGATAAAATTATGCACCCGTTATAAATGTCAATTTTTGTTACTAAAGAAAGCGATTATTTCTTGTTTCTTTCCGTCATATTGTCCAGATAGCGCAAGTAACGACTGAATGATATTATCAAGTGAAAAATATTGAAGTTCATATCTTACCTACGTATAAGAACAAAATATAACCCTATATTCTTATATGCCAATTTTGCATTTAAAAGAGAAATAATGGTTCTGTAATATCTTATACTTCAATTTGATCGTGTAATTTTTATGAAATAAATTGAAATAAATTGAAATAAATTAGCGAATGACTTGAATAATTGTTATTTATACCTATTCCGAGTAGTTTTGTTTTTTAGATATAGGGAACCAAGTATCACAAGTGTATGTACCATCTACAGTGGAAGTAGGAACACTTACAAAATTCATACTTGCAAACAAAATGAATGTCTAAAATGTTATAAATTGTTGCTTTTTACAATACTGTTACTTCTGATTTCTACTGTTGGATGGTACAACTAATAAAATTCTCAAGGCCATGAACAAAGGATTAATACGTGTGTTTTATTCCATATTTTCTTCCAATATTAAAAAATTGAGCTTTAAAATATTTGCCGATTTCTTTGATTTATTTGTATAAAGCATAAAATACAGTGGACAGTAGATGACTTCTTCTATCCGAACCCTTTCGTTGCGGTGGCTCTGAAACAAATCTTTGTTTTTCTAAATTTTAATTATTTAAAAGATTTTCAAATTAAAATGAAACACTTTACAGCAGCACCGACAATTTTTCACTTTTCAATTTGTCACAATTGTTTCTGCAGAATATAAGATTTGGAAATGCTACTGTTTTTTTCATTTTAAATATTTTAATTGTTATTTTCTTTTTTTAAATTAAAAAGCCAGAAATGACCACAGACCACAAAGAACACTAATCGCACAATTGATCTAAATGAGACGGGAAGAATCTTCTTGGGGAAGAAAAAACAAGGAAAACCACACCACCAAATTCACGGTTAACTTCACAAGAAAACTTGTGTTCAAAACCCATGAGACTGATCGCCAAGTCACAACATGCATTTTACGGTAATATAATTAAACTTCTCTATATAACAATCATTTTTTTTTTTCTCGGTACCACTGAAATCAACTGAAATATTTCTTCCTTGCAAATTCCCATTTCTTATCGAACAAATTGAAAATCCTTTTATGCCACTGAAATAATCAAGGATCTTCCAGTTAAGAATCGTTTACATTTCTAATGTAAAATCATTGTTTGCATCTGATGTCACTGAAACTTTGGTAGGTGAACTAAGAATAATGAACGCATTAAACTCAGCGTAATAGTCATCTATTTGTTGTTCCAACACTATTGTGTGATTAAACCACTGCACCTTCGATTGCGCCATACTGTAACGCACTTTTAAAATAATATTTTAAAAGAGCGTCACAATGTTGGTTACCAAGCACAAACACTCAGATTTTTTTTACATTTCACTGTACACGTTCTATTTTTTTCTTTTATGCTTTTCAAGTATTTACCACCAAACACTGTCCTCTCAAAAGAAACGATTCTGTCCCTTTTCACTGGGGAAAAAAGCACAGAGAGCCATTTAGAATTCTGTCCGATCACTTTCTTCAGTTCACTGTTTAGAACACGTCCGCACATGTCACTTATATAAGTATTATATGTATATATCACACAGATAATTCTACATAATCATAAAATGCAGTTTTACAATTAATTAAACTTAATTACTGTATCAAATATAGTCTAAACAGGTCTTTCATATTCTA